AAAAATATTTGCAATAAATAAATAAATAATAGTTTTTCGACCAATTGAGTGACATTGGAAAATGTGTCCGCGACACACCTAATGATCTCTCACGGCACACTATTGTGCCACGGCACAGTGGTTGGGAACCACTGATCTGAATTCTGTTTATGTTTGCTTCTTTTTCTTTTTTTCTTTTTTTTGTGAGAATATTCAAACTGATAAAGAACATTGTCGTCTCACTCGTCTTGTTGAGTGATAGTGTCTCTGTGATGGAGACCTCATTATTTAGTTATAACTACACAGGCGTGCATCTTTTGCTTTGAGGAATTTCTTTTTGTGCGCCATTTGCTAAGGTCTTAGTTTTATTGGCGAGGGGTCGCGACCTCCTGCAGCCTGAAACTCTGCCTCATCGTGGACTCCCTATTGGTTCAGGATTGGTCATGAGATTCTGGCTGTGGGAGAGGTCTTACAGGAAAAGGCACCCCAATGGGAAACCTCCAGTCCAATAAGAAACCCCCCTGAAGTGAAGCTAGGGGATTATGAGCCCAATTCTACAAGTGGAGGCAGGGGGGCTCGAGTCAAAGCACAGGCTATACTCTGTCACCAGGGCGAGTGGACTCCTTTAAATGGTTGCTACAGGGTAGGTATCAAACGTGCTAGAGTCTCACACAGTCATGGTACTGAATGGCAACAAAGAGACAGTTATTTTGGAATAATCTGCCCTGCTAAGGTCAAGTTTTAATTATCGGGAGGCGAGATGTAAGCCGCACTGAGCCGTGTTCCAAATCGGATGGAACAACATGGAGGTCGCATACGGAGGTCATGCCGCGTTAACCTTTATATGCTCTCCAGATCATTGAGAGTTTGTTTATACAAGTCTAATGATTGGATTGTATTGTACGAGTTGTTTACGTCATTATAATTGAATTGAATTATAAATTACAATAAGTCCATGTTTTTCCTCTTTGTTTTCAATATAATTTTACCAAAAAATATCCTGAACATGAAGTGCGAATATTTTTTTATTTTTAAAATTCATCAACGGGCCAGACTGGACCGTTTTGGGCCATGGGCCATATGTTGGACACCCCTAGTTTAAAGTCCGGTGCTGTCAAAGAAACCCACATTTGTTTTTTACCCAATTTCGGGATGCATACCGTATATTGTAACACCAGTATGAACCAGACTTCACTGACCACTGCCTGTAACTCTCCAATCACCATGTCACAAATTTGGAGTAGTAGCAAATGTACAGTATTTCTCTTGCTCTTCTACCTTGAGGCCACAAGATGGCACTACAGTTTCTTTTACAAACTGAGTCAACAAGACAAAGAATAGAGTTGACTTTAAAGATGCGTGGTTATATTGTGGCGCTTTCTTTATAATAGAGAGCAAACTAAGTAAAAAAAAAACTAGAAAATACATATTTGGTAATGATTTACTTTATATTTTCCCTCATTTTTGCCTGCTTTGACCTCTTTACAATTGTATTTACTTTATATTTTCCCTCATTTTTTGCCTGCTTTGACCTCTTTACAGTTGAATAGGAATGCCCAATATTAACTTTTTGCCGATGTCCGAAAAGCCGATACTGTCCAAACACTTTATTTCCGGTTCCGGTATTTACCAGTACCGGTAAATGCAGTCGTTTGTCACCCGTAATTAAAAAGAAATTCAGACCTTGCAGATACTTTAGGTAGTCTCTCTAAATGTTCACGTTTGTTCTAAATTAGGTGAGAAGGTTTCTTACTTTACATTACAATTACATTACAATACATTTACCAGACGCTTTTATCCAAAGCGACTTTGACTTTGACTGAGTAAATAACAAGTATACGTGTTATGCTTATGATTTAATTTTTATGTTTGGTTTTTTTTATCCTCTCTCCTCCCCCACGCAGATTATCTTGTCTTTACAGCCTTGGCTCTGAATATCGTCATGGGGCTGGGGTCTTGGACATAGTGTTTGAGTCTCCATATCAGCTCTTTACCTGTGGCTATGACACCTATATTCGGTTATGGGACCTCAGAGTCAGTCCTCGGTAAGTGTTTTTTTTTATTATTATTATTTTTAATCTTCATTATTTCAGGAACATAAAAAATAACAAAGTAAAAATACAAGAATAAGTTGTCTGTGATTTATAATTTAATTATGACAAAATTAGGAAAAATAATAATGGGTAAAAGTACTATTCTGTCAAGGCTCATAGGGTTATCCAGGATGTTTGTATGGTTTTGTTAGCAAAGCTATATAAAATGCACTACTCTGACAGGTTTTACATTTTTTACTCTTTTATTTCTGTTTGATTTGTGTGTTAATCTATATTTGCATTGTATGTGTCATACTTATTGTTATACATTTTGGGAAAGCTGTTTTGTACTAATTTACATGTGTTACGGTTCAGGCTAAATGGTTACTTAAAGAAAAATAGATTAATTTTTTTCAATTTAGGTGATGCTCTCCAGCCTGCACCAAGGAATTTTACATTACATTTTTTTTACAATTTTCCAACCTATAGGACTGTTCCTTAGTTATTATTATTATTATTATTATTGTTGTTAATAATAATATTCCGTTGAACAGCCACAGAATAATTTTAATACATTTCTATTTTGAATGGGTAATTCAATAGAAAGAAACAAGAATGTGGCCATATGTATTTTTTTTAAATTAATTTAAAAATAATTCAATTAATAAAAAACATAGATATTAACTAAATACAAATTGCAGTAACAGGACAATATTTAAGTGTTTACATCTGACTTTAAACCAGGTCTATAAAGCCTATAATGCATTCTCTTTCCTCAGAGCCATTACAGGAAACAAGTGTTACTTGACTGCACCTGTGCCGTAAAAAGTCCTAAAACTCTTTCTCCTCTCGGTTAAACAATCATGATGCTGACTCTGACTTTCCTGCCGTCTGTCTCCCTGCAGGTGCGATTGTTTACCGGGCTACGTGGGCCAGCAGTGTGAGCAGGATTACAATGTCCAGTCATATCCCTTTACTTTTTTTCCATTCAAAGATAGTATGTCAATGTTTCAGGTCAATCAAAAAACAGGTCATTCAGACACTGATACTAACAGAATAAAGTCTAAAAGATGTTTTATTTTGAAAATTTCGTGATGGCGCAGTATTACCTGTCCACAGTAATGGCTGATGACGGAAGACCAGTCTTTGGTACAAAAAGGGTTGGATACCGCTATTTTAAACCCTCTCTTTGCCCTGTATTTAAATCAGACATGCAGGCATGCTGTCAATAATAAATGGCTAATAGAACGTTTATAATAGTATATAAGTTAGTGTGATGCTAACTTATGCTAACTTACTCTAAAACAGCCATTTCTGACAGCAATTTTATCAGGGTGAGATATTTTACATTGCAGCTCAAAGGAAAAATTAATTTTTTTAATCCTGTTTGTTTGAACATTTACTCTATTTAATTTACTTTGTTGGGAACGCTACTAATGTTTTCTGTAGACCTTGCTGTAAAAAAAGTGCATGAGTACATACGGTAGTTCAGGTCTCCTGTATAAATACCTAAGACATGGTGTGACATACAGTATACTCTAATATGAATCTTACTTTTTATTTGTCCTTGTTTGCAGTTTTTCCAGCTCAACACCAATTCAGCCAGCAGTCCAGTTTACAGCTTACGATTCAGCAGCACTCATCTTTATGCAGCCCTGGCCACAGCGCTGCACTCATTGGACTTCAGAGAAAACACCGTCTGCATCAAGTGATGCAGACGGATACTGTACTGTCATACCGGTAAAATCTAAAGACTTTTCCTTTTATATACCAAAACAGAGACACTAATGAGCTTCAAAAGACAGAATCCACTGTTCAGGTAAAAAGTCCTCCCTCAGTTGCCCGTACTTTCAAAATGTTCTACACATTTCTTTAAACTTTGTGCCAAAGTTATTGTCATAATTTTTTAAAATGTTTGTAAACTGAATGCCTACACGGCCAGGGGTGGAGTCATGGAAGACAATGTTGTAACAGAGCAGCCTTCAAGGTAAAGTAAACTAAATTAAAAGTGTCTGTATTTGGGTGAGAATCTGTTTATTTTTCCAAATAAAATGTCTTTTGAAATTTTTCCTTTCAGCTGTCAGCACAGGAGATCCTTTTTTTTTGACTATTAGCTATTATCACTCCTCTAAAAATGTCCAAACCTTTTATTTATTTATTTATTTATTTATCTCCAAACTGCTGTCCATGTGATCTGCTCATTTCTCATCCTGTCCATCCTGGTCATCTCAGCATCTTCATCTACCGTCACCTACGACTAGGACACCATCATGTCTGTACGCCATCATAACAGGTTGGTTATGTCTCACCCATCACACCCCGTCTGCTCCAATGCTATATCCGAATCGTGTCAACTTCACCTTTGGTGCCATCTAGCGGCCAAAAGCAGTATGAATCTGCGTCTCGTAAAAAAAAAAAACATTGGTTGCTACATATTCAGTTTAATATTATGTGACACTTAATTATATACTCATCCTCATTGAACCCTGTGAATGTCCCCTCTGATTTTAGAGTAATTTGGGGAAATTTAATATTAATCCATTTATATTTATTAGTATTAAAACCACGAAGAAGCCACGAATCCCCCGATTGCTGTATTTCCCTTTCAGCAGTTCAACATTTGGCAGCTGTTCTAAATAACAAACTCAAATTTATTAATCCCTTATATTCCCTCTGTGTGAAGGCACATCTTGCGCACTGGTCACTGTTGTTGCAAAACAGGTCACTAGATGGCAGTCGTCGTTTTTGTTTTTACTGCCCTGTCGAGTTGCTTTTTGTGTTTGGAGTGACGGGAATCGTGCAAATAATAATAAATTATCGTTTTAATAATAATTTAAATTTAATAATTTTTTTAAAATTTATTTTGAAGTTTGAAGTTTTTTTTAATTCTTTTTATTCCCAATCCTTTCTTGCGATAGCCGCAGGAGCCGTTGCTTTTGGGTTTTATGTTGCTCTGTGCAGTTTGTAATATAATTTCGTTTCCCGGGTTTTGTTGTGATTGTTCAGGGATGTGTAGTATAGAAAAGTTGTGTGTTTGTGTGTGTGTGTATACTGTATTTCAGGAGTCAGCAGCCATATTTGTCGGAGGGCCAGAATATTTCTGAACAGGCAGCCAGGTAAATATTATTTTTATTATTTTTTTTATTTTTAATGTTTCTTTCGGAATCCAGTTGTGGCCCTGATTGGACAATTTCACAACCTGCGGGCCACCAGTTGATTATCACTGCTGTATTGTATGCAGAATAGGGCTTAGTAAGCGAACTGAATTGCTGTAGCTCATCAGAAAGAATGTTTTTTTTTTTTTTTTAACCATTCAGTCCTGTTTTTTCAATCAAAAATTCAAAAACAAAAACAATCCAAACTTGGTAACAAAAAATCCAAAAAGCGAAGGTAATCCCAAACTAGAAAAACAAAACTAAATCAGAAATGACTGGATATAAAAAAAAAAAAAAAACAAGGAGCACACGTAAAAGAGGACCATGGGAATACAACTGAATTTAAACAACACAAGTAATTAAAACAGCCGCAGGGAGAAACACAGATGTGCGCAGGAGAACAAGGGTGAGTGATGAGAGTAAATGCAGGCCAGGGCTGGCAGAAAAACACAGGGGGGGCAGCTGAGAGGGATACAAGTTGGTGCAAAGAGAAGGGAACAACATAGGAGGCAGGTGTGGTGAAACTAATGACAAGGGGAGACAGGGGGCAGCAGAGGACGAGGAGACAGGACATACAGTATGGTCACAGGTGATAGTGTTAAAACCGTGCAATCTGCTCCTGATTGGTCAGAGCATCAAGTCATGTAAAGCTATAGGACCGATAGCATCTCCACAGGGCCGACATACTTTAAGACAGGGGTGTCAAACATACGACCGCGGGCCAAAACCAGCCCGCTCGGGTGGGTCAACACGGTCCACTTGATGAATGTTGAAAGTGTTAAAAATGCACAAAACACTGCATATTAGTGATGTTTTTACCTTCACTTTTATTTTCTCTTTTTGAACTTTGTGTGATTTTGTGCTGTTGATTTTGATGTATTTGTAAAGATGACACTTGGTGTTAGTTCAATACATTTGAAGCTTAATTTGTCAGGATTTTTGTTGGGGCTTGGGGGCAGGTGGGATGTGAAAACCCCTCACGTAAGTACAAAGATATGAGAATGGAAATAAGAAATAATAATAAATGTGTGTGTTTTCAGGGTGAGGAAGAGAGATGTTCACGGTACCGTGTTAGTTTCTCCTGCAGTCTTAAGTCTAGTGTCCCAAAACTGAGAGCTGGTTCCAAAGTTGAAGAGTCTGGCAGCTGAAAACTCTGCCTCGTGTTCTGCTCTGGGAACCACAAGTACGTCTGTATTTCTTCGAGGTAAGTGAAGTATTTAGGGATGTGATGGAACCTGTTCAATGTGTTTCAATATGTCCTCTGTGTCATAACCAATGATAGCATGCCGTTTGTATATGTATATATATATATGTATATATATATATACATGTATATATATATATATATATATGTATATATACTGTATATTTGGGAATGGTTTAGTGCAGGGGTGTCAAACTCGGTTCAAACTTGGTTCAGGGGCAACATACAGGGGGCTTATTAAATAAATTAAATAAAAAAAAGTGGGTCGGACCAGTACAATCATACCATAATTACCTATCAATAACAACAAGTCCATGTTTTCCCCCCTTTTTTTTATATGCAAAGAAACACAATTGTATTAGAAAATCTTCATATTTAATGAAATATAATTTAACAAAACATAATTTTTCTACTTTCAAACTGTATCAAGTGGGCCGGATTGAACCTCCTGGCGGGTCAATTTTGGCCCGCGGGCCTTATGTTTGACACCCCTGGTTTAGCAGCACACGTAAGCACCGATTAAATTGAACCGTTTCGGAACAGCAATGCTTCAAAAATGAGCGTGAATTAACCACTGTCGGTTGTCACAACAACGATCTCCTGGAGAATTAGTTCGAATGTTCACCCGAGTAAATTAATTACAATGTATTTCATCTCTGGAGTATTATGCAGTTAGGGTAACAATTAGCAAATGTTTGTTTTTTGAACTGTGTAACGGTGTCCCCTGGTCGTAATAATAATATGGTTCTGTTGTCAGTTGAGGTCAATTATAAATATTATATAATAAGTTAAAAAAAAAAAAGAGAGAGAGCTGTCGATTGTAAAATAAATAAATACATAAAGAACAGAGGTCGGATTTGCACACAGCAACAACAAGTACTTTCCACGTGAACGTATTTGTTCAGGTAAAACCCATCGCTCAAGTATATTCGGAGGAAAAATAAAGGCCAACCCGTGACAGTGCGTTGAAGCCTCAGGCCTGTGATGTCATCTGGGTAGAGTGATGTCACTTTCAAAAATCACTTTTTTTTTTTTTTTTTTTTTTTTTTTTACAAACTTCTGATCATGTAATATTACAGTATATAATCTAAAGAATGGATTTACAGCCTGTAAATCAGCAACAACGTGCTCTAAACTGCATGAACCCAAATATACATACGTGCACCACAGATGTTTCGTGCGTCTCTCACCGCGGAGCTCTCTCTCTCTCTCTCTCTCTCTCTCTCTCTCTGTGTGTGTGTGTGTGTGTGGTGTGTGTGTGTCTGGCTCGAGGTGGTCTTCCTGCCTTAAGAGTGTAATCCATCTCCATCACTTAAATGATTATCCCCATTATTTTGGTGTAAACTAATAAAGACAACAGCGCGCGACCCCCCCCCCCCCCCCACACACCCACCCCCGCCCCCCCCCCCCCCCCCCCCCCCCCCCCCCCCAAAACCCCCCCCCCCCCGTCACCCTCTTCTGGGTGGAGATTCATTAAGTCTTTAGTACATTAATAAGTCTTCATGTCCACCCGATGTTCCCGTCACCTGGTGCTTAGGATCCCTCGAGGTTTGACTAGATTTTCTTTCTCTGTCTGTGGTTATGGGACGGGGGGAGCGAGCGGGGGCGAGCGGGGGTGTGTGTGTGTGAGAATCAGAGCGGGAGAGAGAGCTGTGGATGTAATTTTGCAGCATGGGACTCAGATGGCCCTGGCGGTCGCCATGGTAATTTGCCTGATCAGTTTAGAGAATAATTGTTTTTTGGTGATCAATCATCCGGGTTGTCACAGCAACTAGAGGCCTGGTCGGCATGGAGCCCTCGTAATTGACACTGATTTGATGTTGGATGTTGGCACGCCGGAGAAAAGTTTGGTCAATTAAAGGTTGTTGAAAGTACAACTCTAATAAATGTGTGGTCTCCACGTACGTACGAACGTACGAACGCACAGGCGCGCGGGCAGCTCTTGTTGTGTGTGTGTTTTTATGAATGTGTTTATGGTGGGGGGGGGCTGAGGAGTGGGAAGGATGGAGATTAATGGGACACTAAGCCAGAAGGAGGTCTGCTTTATTTTACATTTGGCAGTGTTTGAGTTATTGAGTTATGTCACGCTGCTTCTTTTAGTTACAGACTCCGAGAGGTAATAATTCAATCACACTTACAGAGAGAGGCAGAGAAAGGAAGACGGAGGGAAAGCAGCCATAAAGTCCTTTTTATTATATAGATGCTTTTTATTATATAGATGCTTTATTTACAAATGTTGTTACACGCACGGGGGGGGGGACATAATTGAACTGCGTTTGTCCAGATCAGCACTGCAATTAGTACTACAGTAATGTTACTTCCCTTCTCTGTGCACTGTTCTTCCTGTGGATATGGAAGGCCATAAATACCTCGAAAGGTGTGTGAAACACGGTTTTTATAAAAAAAAAAAAAAAAAAGACTAAATGTTGCTCTCTATGATTAAAGTGAACAAATATTTGGGAAGAACAACCTAAATGTTGCTCTCTATGATTAAAGTGATATTTGGGAAGAACAACTAGAACATTGATTTTTACTTAGTTTCAACATTTCAATGATATGAAACGACCTAAAGCAATTGACCTCTCAGCATAGTTTTATTCTTAAAAAAAAAATCAAATGAAACAGTTTCTATACAAACATTGATTTATTAGTTTAATTAAATTAAATTCAACATGACTTGAAGACAATTATTTAACATTAAAACCTATTTTCTGCACAGTCCGTTCTTCTGTTAACTTATATTTCTCCATATCCCACTATATAAAATATAATTATTTTTTTATGTGTTTATACTCCTTCAGTCGCATAAATGTAAATAAAATACAGGGTAAAAAATTGTAGTCAAAGTGTCTCCTGGCTGTATTCCAAATTATTAACATTCGATTATTAGCAACGCCGTTATTATAACTCATTACCGCCCATTATTGCCAAGAATCAGTCGTTACTGCGGACCCTGAATACCGAGCCATCCTTGAAGGATCATTACATTTTCAAAATAAAACATCTTCTAGACTTTATTCTGTTAGTATCAGAGTCTGAATGACCTGTTGTTCTGAAACATTGACAGATTATCTTTGAATTAAATAAAGTAAATGGGATATGACTGGATTCTTTATGGACAAAATAAGTTAGTAAAACTGAAGTACATTTTTTTTCACTCTGTCCCAGTACCAAGTGACCTACGGACCAGCTCCGGTCCCTGGTCCGGGGGTTGAGGACCCTTGTTTTGAGTATGAGCAACTAACACAACTGGACCCAGAACTACTTCTGTAAATATACAGTGAACTCTAACCCTAACACCAAATAAAGATAAACAACATAATGAAGAAAAAAAAACAAAAAAACAACCAACCTAACATTTTGCAACTGTTGTGTTTGATTGACCTGTGACTAAAGCTGCATACAGCTGCCATGTCTCCTGGTGTAATATTTCCCTCTGGCTTCCTGCATTTGTTTAAAAAGGGCTTCAGGGAATGCCATTCAGACCTGTCAAAGTCAGATATATATATATATATGCGAGGTGGAAATGTCCGAGTTCACGCAGCGGGGGCAGGCTGACGTGGGTTCACTCCAATAAAACTGATTTGTCGCTCATGTCTGACTCTGAAGTAAAGTTTATGTGACGCAACTTTCAGAGTTGCAGGAACATCCCACGCGGCGGCACAATTGTTATTGATTGGTTTAGGATGTTATCAGCTTACAATAAATCATTGTTTTTCATTTTTGGAAACAGTTTTTTTTGGAAATGAAACATTTGGACACAGATCTGTCCACCACAGTGAGAACCGTGCTATTTCATCTCTGAAATGAAGGCACAAAGATATGATGAAGATGCTCTCTCTCTCTCTCCCTCCCTCTCTCTACCTCTCTCTATCTACCTTCTATCTCGAATTATTTTTAAAATTGTTTTTTTTTTATGTCCACAGAGAAGACAGACTTCAGCAGTCTCCCAGCTGTCCACAGTAACAAGAAAACCAACCAGTCCCCTCCAGTTCACCACAGACAGCAGGAAACGCACACTTAACTCTCTGACAGGAAATATACTGAGCAATATATTGATGTTAAAGGTAAGGACCTCAGGATCGGACAGCAGCCATCCTTCCTAAAATGGTCCAGTCATTGCTTTTATTACTATATATATGTATATATGTACTGTATATATATACATATATATGCATATATACAGTATATGTATATATATATCTCCATATATATATATACAGTATATATATACAGAATACATGTGTGTGGATGTATATACAGTATATGTATGTATATATATATTTCTATACATATATACTGTATATATACATATATTATTTTAACAATTGCCTCAAAAAATCTTCAAAAAAAGTCTCTCAAAAATACATAAAAAAAAGCACTCATTTGCCTTAAAATTCATACCTACGTCCTTTTTTTTATGTTTGAAATTCAGAAAAAAATTACATTTTTTTCTGGATGTCTACGATTGATCAAAAGCCAAAGGTCAAGACAACATTATTGTCAGATATGCCATATGCCAGGCGGACCACAATGTGTTCTAAATTTTGACGGCGGGCCGGGTCAGTACAAGTCACAAAGACTAAAATGCTTTATCATCTATTGGAGAAATGCAGGCATTAGAGGGAAAAGGCAGAAGTATAATGATAATAGAAATTAATAACATCATTTGGACAGGTTTGGCGGGCCGGATTAAAAAGTCAAACGGGCCGCATCTGGCCCCCGGGGCCGTAGTTTGTCCCACAATTTGTACAGAATAGTAATAACAAAGAGTACTTAAGTAATGGAATAGGACAACAGTACTGTAACAACTTTATTTCAAGCGGGAGGGAGGGGAGAGGGGCACCAATGATCCTGTCACGACGCGCTGCAGGGTCTTGCGCGCAAGGGATCGTACCACACAGTGCTGCAGTTGGTCGGGACGCTGTCGACGGTACAAATAATTCGCTGGAAAAGTATTCAAATTAAAAGCACCCCTTATATATTGCTAATATATAGCAGTGGCATTTCATTGGTTGATATATATATTTTTTTATATATTTATTTTTTTATATAACAACCATTGATCACAGCAACACACTATACTAATAAGATTCTGAAAAGTCTTCAAAAATAAATTTTTTTTTATATATATATTGAAAATCCAGAATAAATATACTTTCGGAATCTTACTAATATAGTACACATAGTAAATTGTTATTAATGGTTGACATACCAAAAATGTATCATTCTTCTGAATTGAATTGCTATTTATTTTAAGGTAAACAAGCAGAATTTTACTGTACAGTAAAACAGTAAAAATACAGTAAAATTTTTAATTTTTTTTTACATAATTTATTATAGTATATTTTTTTCGTTTCTGAACCATATCACCATTAAAAAAGGGTTATTGTTATGCATTTTAAGGCAAATTAGTGCAATTGTAGTGCATTTTTGAGAAACGTTTAATTTTGAATAATTACTATATTAATGTTATCAATGGTTGATGTGCCATAAAAGTATATTTTTTTTTCTAAATTTTTTACTATACAAAAGGACATTGCTATGTATTCTAAGGGTTGAATGGAACAGTCCATAGCTAGAAAAACCTCATGGAAAAATGTAAGAAAATCGTACTGACGTTTGATATAAACGCCAAGATCAGGTGTCTGCGATCAGAGTTGTAGAAACGCCAAGATCAGGTGTCTGCGATCACAGTTGTATCGGGTTTATCGGGTTTGTGATAAATACATCGACAGTTTCAACAAGTCCACACACTCACGAGCAGTCGGTGGGCTTCACAGTGAGGGTCGCACTAACATGGACTGCAGGGGTGTACCCACTCAGACACTGCCACTTCTCAAGACGTCGCAGGTGTAAACACTCAGACGCTGGCGCCACTCTGGATGTCCCCGGTCTAAACAAAAGTCCATGCTCTCATGTCCTGACCCATGTTGAACAGAAGTTCAGCTCAGACAGCAAATTGTCCCACGACTACGGAGACAGATTTTCAAATTAAGGCTCAGTGATTTCTCAGAGTTTTCTGGAGCAGAGGCACTGGTTTTAGGGGAATGAAAACGTTATTATTGTCTACTGTTTGGACAGATCATTATGTAGACCCTCTAGGAATTTAGGAATTTCCAGTAACTTCCTTACTGACCATCCACAGCTGGTGCAGCAGCAACATCGACTCCTTCACATCCTCTGGGAATTCTATTTCGACTGACTGACGTCAATAACCCCTCGGGAAAATCTCCTGGCTTTACACCTTTGCCACTGAACTCAAACATTAAGGTTAAACTGGTTAATAGACATTATTCGTAAACTTCTGGGAAACACGATGCGAGACGACCCCCCTCCCCCCCCCAAAAAAAAAACTCTTGCGAACCACCTGAGGGTCGCGACCCAGTCTTTGGGAAACAATGTGTTAGACTGTAATGTAAAACTTGGGTTTTTCACATTGGGATTTTCAAGAAAGAAAAGAATTCCCTTACCAAACTAAACACTATCCTTCAATGGGATTCAATTGATGAAAATGGCACCATTGAAAACAGTTGAGGAATTTTTTTTTTTAACATTTCAATTGATCTGAGGTGGATAGAAACGGGGGAGAAAGAGTAAACACAGTAACCCAATAATTACTGCAAACCTTGTATGACTCGGTCTGAAGAACCACTTCTCCAACAGTTAATCCGATGTCTTGGCCTGAGATGTATTAGCAGAATGAATGAATATATTTGAAAGGAAAATCCGAAGAGTAAACACCACATTTCCGTGGTTAATAAAACACAAATCCTAAAACACGGCGTGTGTAATTTCAGGAAACGCGTCCTAAATTGTGTACAGAGCAGGTCTGTCACATGTGATTAATTCCTCACTCGGCGGTCATTAGGGCCAATTGGTCTCGCTGTGAAGCGGCCACATAAACCTCACGGTCTCAGTGTCTACAGTTCCGGCATTAAAATGTGATTTTTTGGTCATTTGACCAATGAGGAGCACTGAAGCCGTATTAAAAATGTATGTTTTAGGCCTGTATAATTATATCCCAGTGGCTTTTGGAACCATATCAAACCATTTGTCATTTAATTTTTGCAGATGTTGGGTTTGTGCGGTGAAACGGCGCCCGCACATATGCATGTGTTAGTTATTTATGATCCAGGACGGCCACGTGGTTTCACTCATTTGGCATGTTCACAACCCAGAGCCATTGATCATCCCCGGGATCATCATTATTCAAATGAATGTGGTCGTTTATCCCACATTATCAATATTAAAATTATACGGCAGTAAAAGATTACATTTAATGATAAACTCACGTTAACGTAGGTGTGAAAAAATAACATATATATTACTATAAGGATGGTGATTATTATTATTATTATTATTATTATTATTATTACATGACGGTTCTCATTACCATTTCTTCTTAAGGGTGACCTTACCGGGTACCGGGGTCACGATTTGGGGGTATGGACGCCAGTAGGGCCATCAAACATCCATGTTGGGGTCACAGTATTAATTTCTTTGTGAAAAATGGTACGAATTAAGTTGCAGTAAAGTAAATGTGTACAAGTGTGTGGTGCGGGGCCCGCTCCATGTGTCACTCCATTGGCCTCGAGCTGAGTCTGGAGGCGGCCACTCCTGCCCCCTGCTCACAGATATACGTGCACAGTACACGCATGCTCACAGTCAGCAAGAAGCCCAAGTTCACGAGGTGGAATTAGTCACAATCCGTGGCAGCATGGATCACATAGCGTTTCTGGGAGCGCAGCTGCAGCAGCAGCAGCTGCAGCAGCAGCAGCACGCGCACGTCGAGCCCATCAGCTTTGGCATTGATCAGATCCTCAGCAATGTAGAGCAGAGCTGCATGTTGGACACCAGGACGGATCCGGGCTACGGACCCCCGCCGTACATCCGCAATACGGGTGTCGGCTTTACGTGCGGCAACGGCGATTGCAACAACGTCGGCGGTAACTGCGTGGGCGCAGACAGAAACGTGGGTGTCGGTATAAACGGAACTAACGTTAACGCATCCGGAGTTATCAGCGTCCCCGCGCACCGGCCGCTGAGTGGCACGAACTCATCCTTACCACTGGTCAGAGGGGGAGTCAATAACCTGAGTGAGCTGACCTTTCCTTGGATGGAGAGCAGCCGGCGGTTCACCAAAGACAGGTTTACAGGTGACCCGATATTGTATTATATTATAATATATTGTATTATATGATGCGCCAAATAGTAAATTATTTTTTTTAATTTAGTGTCAGCTTTAAATGTACTATGAGAAATAAACATGTAGGTCTGCCTCAGATTTTTAACTGTTTCCTGTTGTTGTTTATGACTTGGATGACCTACGACTATTTTTGCTTAAACTTGATTTTTTTAGAAACAATTTATATTCGTGTAATCATAGCTTAAACTCGGTTTTTTTTAAATTATAGTGAAAGAAATGCATAAGTGTGGTTTTAAAACCATTACTTGATAAAAAAAAATTGTTAGGATACAGGAGAAGCCAGGATAAAATCACGCGCCTTCCACACGAAATTGTTTGAAAACGTTTTTGGCAGTGGTGACATACAGAAATATATATATAAACGAAATTGTTTGAAAACGTTTTTGGCACTGGTGACATACAGAAATATATATAAATTTTTTTTTTTTAAAAAAACGTCTAACTGAATCGGTTGTACAAATGTTAAAAAAAAAACAACCAAACGTCTAACTTAATCGGTTGTACTTTTTTTTATTTACCAAACCTAAATGTAAGGTGTAATAAATACGAAGAATAAAGTCATAATGTAAGGAGTATAAAGTCGTAAATTAAGGAATATAACGTCGAAATGTTATGAGAAAAAGGGCCGTAAATTTATTAGAATAAAGTCGTAATATGAGGATAAATAAAGTCGTTAACTTGTTGAAATAAAGTCGTAACGTTAGGAGACATAAGTCGTAAAATTATGAGAATAAAGTCGTAACGTTTGGAGAAATAAGTGGTTAATTTATGACAATAAGCTCGTAATTTAAGGAGCTATAAGTCGAAAATATATGAGAATAAGGTCGTAATTGCAGGAAAACTAGTCATAAGTCATCTAAAACACGATGTTGCTGAGCCTGAATATGACGTAGCTCCTTATTTGTGAACCCAATGCTAAAGTATCACTTCATTCCGACGGAACTGTCAACTAATAAACGTATATTCAATAGTAATAGGTAATTAAACGTATATTCAATACTCTGTAATAGGTAATAAATTATTATTATTATTATTATCTGAATTCATCATTTTCATTCCCGCGCAAATATCACTTCTGTAACTACATAAGGACGTGTGGCTGCTGCTCAGCTACTCATTAGCCTCCGCTAACGTTCTCTTCGTTGCACAGTTATACTCTCAACTGTCCTGTCCTCCCCTTCCTGTCCAGTGTCCATTTCACCCACCACTATAACACGACGTGTAGGTCACCCATATCAGAACCGGACGCCTCCGAGAAGGAAGAAGCCGAGGACGTCCTTCACGCGCCTGCAAATCTGTGAACTGGAGAAACTGTTCCACCGGCAGAAGTACCTGGCATCAGCAGAGAGAGCCGCCATGGCCAAAGCCCTGAAGATGACGGACGCTCAGGTCAAAACCTGGTTCCAAAACAGACGCACAAAATGGAGGTACAATTATTAATAAAAAAAAAAAACAACAACAACAACTGCAACGACAGTAACATAAAATTAAAAGATTACAACAACAAAAGCAACAACAACACTTACTATTAATACTACTACTACTAATGGTGTTAATAATAATGTGGTAATTATTATTATTATTGTTGTTTTTATTATTATTATTGTTATTATTATTATTATTATTATTATTATTATTATTATCAGCCACATATGAACAAGAGGCCCCGCATTTTAATTACAAAAAAAAAGTCCTTATAATGTGTTGACTTTGAAGTAACTTAACAGTAATTTAAAGTTAGTTTGCAAACGAAGAAACATGGAGGGAAATGACTTTTTTTTTTTTTAATTAAACCCCCCTTTCCTCGTTAGACAAGTCGTCATTCCATCACTGAGCTCCATATGAAGACACTTCGAGTTTAAGGGGAAGCGCACCGCTATTTTCGCAGTTATGCATTAAACTGTATTTATTAGTATTAGTATTTTATTGCGTATTAATTCCGTTTCTTTACCACCATAATTATTTTTGAAAATCCGTTCTCATCTCTTACCGACGGTCATTACGTTGGCAAATATATTTAATACTATATTGGATTTAATTCTTAATTTCATTTTATTAATTATTAAGTTGAGATATCCAAAATATTATAAATTGATACCGTGTTACTCAAATACAAGTAGAAACACGCCAATATTAAATCTATTTAAAGAGTTGCATTTGATTAATAATGTATTTGCGTGTTGGAAACATTTAATTTGGTCAGTTGTGAAATACTTATAGGCCACAGCGATGCCGTTTATGTTCATATTTAATCTTTACAATGAAACGGAATGAACTATAAAAATCAATGTAAATCGTCCTTAAAAATTGCATTCAGCGAAACGACACACAGGATAAGATAAGCAAAATAATATTAATAACTTTGATCTTGGCGTATTTTTTTAATTTCGTTAAATTAACATTCCCTGGTTGTTGTATGCTGATATTTTTAACATTCCCTGGTTGTTGTATGCTGATGTGTATTTCCATTTCCTCCGCAGACGACAGACGGCAGAGGAGAGGGAGGCCGAGCGGCAGCACGCGAACCGCATCGTGATGCAGCTACAGCAGGAAGCGTTCCAGAAGGCTCTTAACCAGCCACTGACCCAGGACCCGCTGTGTCTCCAGAACAGTTCGCTGTTCGCCCTACAGAATCTGCAGCCGTGGACTGAGAACACTGCCAAGATCAGCAACATATCCGCCTGCGAGTAGCTTCAACACAGCGAAAGAACTGAAAGAGACGCAGATTCTCTACTAACCACAGCACCTCCTGTGGCTGATTGGAGTAACTCCATGGTCGAATCTACGTCAGGAGACAAGGACACATGCTTGCAGATGCACTTTTCTTTGTGATTTAGGTGTTTTGTTTAACATACATATTTTTCCCCATTTCTCTACTCGAATACTACTACTAAAAGTACTTTGGTACTACGCGGGGGAAACGCAGTTGGGACAGTGTGTATGTGTGGATTTGTGCACAGGTGTGTGCAGAGCAGAAATATACAATGACACAAGTCATGATGTAATACCGCGCATAAAATTATATTTCTAACATTGTATAGTAAACTAGTTTATTTCTCTAGTAATGTAAATATGGAGACAGACCCACAGCAAATTGCATGACAACTGAGCAGCATTTATTTATTTACTCTAAACCTAAATGTAAATCTCGCCCTACGTCAAGAACTGTATATATAACTTATTGTTATTCATGATAGGTCTTTGTTTATTCACTGCCATGTTAAAAGTTAAATATTCCAATTTTTATTTGAAAAACACCTATTAGGACAACAATTAGTGCCGTCAATCGAATATGATTACGATTTTGAGCCTCCAGCCGTACAATAACCATCGACCTGATCATCACTATTACTAACAAGAGCGGGTTCAGAGCTAATTCCTGATGTAGCCTAAAGCTATTCGAGGTCACTGCAATGTAAAGACAAGGAAAAATCTTGATCCAACTGGACAACTATAAAAACTATGTGTTTTTTTCACTACAGCTGTTATAGCCTCAATCAAAAAGATCGGCCATAGACAGAGAAAAGATGTGTGTGAAGATTCAAGCTCATGTTTTTTTTTTTCTTACCTCCTTCTAGTGAAATATCAAATGCTCTTGTGGATAAGGGTTAACACGCTTGAAGAGTTCATGGCATTAGTATTTGCAGCAGCTGTGACAACTAAAGACAAAGGAGACAAAATGAAAACCATTAAAGGTTTAAAATGAGCACAGGAACAGGAAGTGAGGCCTATTCGTCATCGTGATCATTATTTAATTTAATATGTTTACACTGCCCATGATAAATTAAGGAAATTACAGATGAATAGTGGAATGAATGGGAATCCAAGGTTCTTAACTAAACTTTCTGTGTAGTACATGTGTAAAATAAAAGTGTAAAATACTTAAATGGCAGCAACAAGTACCGTCACTGTAGCAGTCTCTGCAGGGTGCGGATCTTTATACTCAATGTTACTTTTACACCAGCTGATATGTACATGAACTGTAAAAAGGAAATAAATACTTGAATAAAATCTACAATAATGTTTTTTTTTTTTGGACAAGTCAAGAAATGTTTAATCCAAAGCAGATGGAGGTGGGGTTAGCTAGTGGGTTGCTTAGGCTCAATCAAAAATTGAGCAAGTGGTAGACAATAGCAGGCGGCTCACTGTACAGGTTATGTGGAAAGGAAGCTAAGCAATGTTAAAATATTGCATCAGTGTTACGGGGGAGTTTGATCTTAAGCCATTCTTAATAGCAAACAGTTTTAGGTTCCATAATAGATAGCATCTACGACCTGGGACGGTTGCATATTTTGTAAATGAACCTCAAAGAATAGAAGGTCATTATAAGTTTGGAGAATTTAATACACATGATAAGAAATACAAAAAAAAAAGACTGCTACTACAAAGTCTGTTAACGAAATTGGTCTCAATTAAGTAGTGTTATCCACCCACGTAAGCGGTCTCCAGGAGTTTAAATCTGTGGTTTATATTGATGAACAGGAGTTTGGATTGTAGCGCCACCTTCCCTGAAAATACAAAAACACATACGAAAAATACATTTGGAAACAAATACGCAAAACGGTAGGAGGTTCGTGTCTATTTTTAATTGAAAAACAAACAAACAATATATACTATTTTATATAGTACTTTGTCTCCCTCTGTTGGTCCAAAATAGTTATTACGCCATTGCGTAACTTTTTTTTTGAGTCGCGTGATTATGACGTTCATGGTAAAGTTGAACAGAGAACGAGGCAGTTGCTGCAGAAATGTCATTGCTCAGGTGCCTCGGTGGAATAAACAGAATATATAATGGTGTTAGCGTGGTTCCAGCAGTGGACCGTCTCTTTACAGGTCAGTTCAACTGTTTGTATTAGTCTTGCGCTGCCTGTGTGGTACTGTAAAGGTTGAACACAGCGGATGTAAATGTGAAAATAAAGTGGGAAATGAGACGTTGGAGACGAATTTCCTCTTAAAACTATCAGAGTTTACGCATGTGCGTCACGGTAGAGTAGGTTAACATTTAGTGAATTAAAACGATTGCACCTTTACCTAGGTTTTACGGTAAAGAGCCGACAAAGCTGTGATAGTCCGTTCACTGGCATCTCTAAATGTTCAATCTGTTCTAGTTGACTTATTTTACGCCCTACACCTGAAATTATGTTTTTGTCTCGTTAATAATATATAAATGAGTCATGCTGTTTAATAAAAACCCGGCATATATGAATACAGAACGAAAATACGTTGACACGAATCAACTCTTCCATATTATTGTAGAACACTTATCACAGTACCGTCAGATTCACTTTTTTTATATATATAATGAGAAAGAAGAAAACCCTTTTCATATCGTTACAAAATACGCAAGTGTCATGGGTGGTTCCTTGTACCTGTTACTGTATTTGTTAATTAAGACGTCCATTTTGTCCACCTGTTACTATCCAGTCTCTCGACGTCTTACTGTCAATTAATATTCTCCCAAGGTTGTCCAAGAGCAGCTAGCGGAGCAGCGACAGACAAGGAGATGACGCAGAAAGCTAAGACTCCACAGGGACGTTTGGACCTCCCAGAGAAGAAGAATGATGTCCTGGAGGGTGAGAACAAAACAATGGTGGTCTGTGTTTATTTGACACCAACCTCTTAAGCCCCACGTTTCTGGTTCCAGAGCAGAAATAGCCAACAGAATTAGAGTGATGTCACGTCCTGTCTTTTATATAAACATAGACGTCAATGCTAATCAATGCTAAAATGAAAATCTCCACTAAAATCTCATAAAACACTTTCCATATTCACCAAACAGGTAAACAACAGAAGATGGAAGGTGTCAATTAACTAACAAGTGATAAACAAGAAAACTGTTTACGAGGTCAGGAGCAGATAGATGGAGCGTTCGTGCGAACTAAGATAAATGACATGTTGAAGTCATGTATAAAGGCTAAGATACTTTTATCATTTTCTACGCCATCTATTGGGGAAACATAGGTATTGCAGAGAAAAAGGTATGATAATACTTCATTATCATTACATTTAAAGCACTGATAATATAAATAAATTATATAATTTGGAAACATTTGGCGGGCCAGATTAAAAAGCTGAACGGGCCGAATCCGGCCCCCGGGCCTTAGTTTGCCCTTGCTTAGGCTAGGTCCTCAGTAAAACATTGTTCTGTGGCGCTTCAGCGGTCTTAAACTTTGCACAGGTAATGTTTAGATGTTCCGAATCCGGTCTTCTATGTATATTGTATGTATATTGTCTGTATATTTTTATAGGGATATATACACCTTTAATCCAGCTGTACGTTTCAATATCACAACATGCTGTAGCAAGAACTTCCTGCTTCGAATGATAAAGCTAATCTGCTCTCGTCTTGCTCTTCTCCCAGTGTTCCCTGATGACGTGAACCCAGAAACCAAAGAGAGAGGGGGGCCCCGGGGGCCAGAACCCACACGTTATGGAGACTGGGAGAGAAAGGGCCGCTGTGTGGACTTCTAAGAAAAAAACATTTCATTTATTAAATATTTAATTATTTGGGTGGAAAATAAAGTTATAAGGAGGTTAGTACACAATATATCTTAAGAAAATAAGTGGAATAACTGTATCTATATCAATGTATATACATATCTTTATATATATATACAGTATATACAGTTATGTATATATTATGGCATGCCGTTCAGGAAGTTAATCCTTGAATATATATACAGAAAGTCTGAATATATATATAATAAGACTGTATTGTGACTGACTGTAATAATACTAAGTCTGTATACTGTATATACCAAAAATCGAACCCCTTTTGACCACAACAGCCCCTGCATATGTCATGGTTATATTTGTAATCCAAGTATTACAAAAGAAAACAGTGAGTGCTGTGAAAATGTAATAAATATGTTAAATTGAATAAGAACTGATTACATGTCATAAAATGGTTAACAATCTAAGCTCCTTGTTGTGAGGGATACAGAGTAACGTATAAGGGTAAATAAAAAATATATTATAATTCGTTATAAATACTTGTTTGGAAATATATTATTTCTAAATGTTATTATTTGATAACGCTGTCCATTGTGCTGACGATCATTACTTACGTCTTCCAGAAAGGAAAAGAGCAACAGTAATGCAAAGAGTGAATTATGTTAACTTTTATTTGAAGATTTTTTTTGTTTGATAGCTGTCAAATGACGTAGTGTACTGTGTTGTCTTTAAAATATTGATTTGTTCACAGGTTCCTTGATTGTTCATTCTTTCTTCCGGGTTGCGGAAAAAGGGGGGTCCCAAAAAAAAAAAAAAAAAAAAAGAGCGAAAAGGGGAGAAGAGAAGCAGCGAAGAGTGAATAAATAATGACGTTCATATCGAAGCTGCTGGTGTCGCATTGCTGTTATTTTTTTAAATACTTTTTAACGCCCCGCTATGTGGGCACAAGATACAGGAGCCTGGCCAGTATATATTCACAGAAAGTGTATGAATATGTATACAAAAAGTCTAAATGTATATACAAACATCCTGACTATATATGCAAAAATCCTAAATATATATGCAAAAAGTCTAAATATATATACAGAAATGCCGAATATATATATACAAGAATCCTGAAGATATATACAGAAAGTTTGAATATACTGTATATACAGAAAGTCTGTCAGTCAGTATATATGTGTGTGTGTGTATATATCTATATATATATTTATATATATATATATAGATGTATAGCAGATATATGTATACATATCAAGTATCAACTATTAATAGAGTTAATGTGGTATAAATAGTGTGTGTGTGGGAGTATATACATATATTTACATATATACTGTATATATATATATATGTCTTTATATATAAAACAATGGTTATCAGTAGTAAAATTAAAGTATAATAATAAATAATGATTGAGATTGCAATCAACACCATACACGGCAACAGTAGTTTCCTACTAATACTACTATCACTATCTATCTACTTCTACTAACCTACTAACATCTATCTATCTATCTATCTATCTATCTATCTATCTATCTATCTATCCATCCATCCATCTATCTATATATATATAGTCAGCTGTCTATATGGAGTAAACAAAATTATTTTAAAAATATTAGAAGGTCCATCCCCTGAGCAACACACAGGTCAAACATTAAAACTTGTTTTGTTTGTCAGCAGCCTGTAGTATAACCAAACCAACCCTTATAGGCCTTCAATAGAGGGCACTCCATATACCTATGGTCTCTATGGGCTGACAGTGTGCCTTTTTTATAATATATATATATATATATATATATATATTTATATATATATATAATTTTTTAAAAATTAGATGCTGTAAATGTCCTGCCGTGTCACCGATAAATACTTGTTTGTAATTTTGGAACTTTAACCCTCATATAACCCACAAAAATCTTCCCTTCAGTTCTATGTGCGGTAATCCCCGTGTCCTTTTGTAATAGTGTTGTTGACCAGTGTCAGGCAGTAACTGAATTTATTCATGGTTTTTGTGATGTAACAGTGGAGTATCCAGCCTCAGATCACTGTTATTGAAATGTCAAGTTTTGGTTTTTTTTTCAGGTGTATCAAACTCTGTTCCAATATTCATCAGCATTTCAATTGGAAAACAAGTCACATTACTTGTAACACGTAACGTGACAGTTGTACATATGCATACTCATCCGTGTCTTTGGGAAGGCAATATTTAAACCCCTACTGTAACCTTATGTTGACCCTCATTCGCCGCCCGCCCACACGCACACATACAGTACCTGCAAAATCACCGCTAGGAAAAATTAAATACATCTTTAATTAAATCTGAGCCTATATGTTTTCACCTCTGACACGTTTAAAAAAACGTCACTACATATTATTATTAAAGTGACGCGCGCACGCACACGCGGAGGTTGTTTGTTCGTTTCATGTTTCTTTTGATGAATTTACTCATCGGGTTTTGTTGCTATAAAACACATGTACAAATGACATTAGAGTAGACTCAGAGAGCTGAAGTGAACTGAAGAAAACGTCAGAATCAGAACCAAACCAAGCCATGGACAAACGTGAGTGACTTTTTTTATTTTTATCATAACTTCTTTTTTAATGTTTTTGTTGTCATTTCCTCATCTGTTTTTTTTTTGTTTGTTTTTTTTCCGTGTTGTCCGTCTTTCTCAGTTGTTTTACTGTTGTCCATGTTGTGTATGAGTGTATCCACGCAGCCGGTTATAGACCAGCGGCGTTTCTCCATTGCTGTGAGCAAAGTTCAGCATCTTCACCTGCTTGCTCAGAAATACTTCTCCGACTTTGTAAGTGTACACATTTTATTACCATTTATTTTACATTAGCTGAGACTAGATAGATAGATAGATAGATAGATAGATAGATAGATAGATAGATAGATAGATAGATAGATAGATAGATAGATAGATAGATAGATTAGAGAATAAAAATTTTAAATCCTATTTTTTTTCTGCTAAATTTCAAGTTACATACAAGTTCACATCAGCACACCAAGGTCTGATGCATCAACGAAAATGTCCTAACATGCACTGTATATATGTATGTTTGTGTGTGTGTGTGTGTGTGTTAGGAAAATTCACTACAAACTGAGGATCAGCGTCAATTTAACAAATTCCATCAAGACTTCTGCAACCCTGATAACATTATCATCCCCGACAACAAGCATGAGACACAGCGCAGCTCAGTGAGTAAATTAACGAGAAACTTCAGACATGCAAATGCATATTCCATTTCTGACATGTTACGAACAAACAATGAAAAAACATTGAAGAAAAAAAAACCTGGATCCTGTAAAACCTAAAATCTGTGCCAAATAGCTGACGTTGACTTGTTTATATGCATTAAGTGAAATGTAAATAAATGTAATCATTTCACAAGAAGATAGGCTTCAGTTGATGTCTTTGACAAATCACCACTGATGTGACTCTGGTAAAAAATAGAGGTAAAAATGTTTGAAGTGCAGAGAACAAGAAGTGAAAAGAGCCAGACGATTGGTCGGACTTAATCAAGTCAGTTTGATTTTACATGTATGTGAGCCTTGTCACAAAACACATTTACCTTTATGGACTTCAAGATCAGTATATAAGAACATAAAAAAAAGTGTTTTTGCAAATTTCCACTCGTCAGGACACAGTTAAGTTGTTCAAATCTAAGATATAATATAACACAATTCTAATATATATCAACTTTACAGCAGTCACATTCATTTGTTTTGTTTGTTTCTTTTAGGTCCTGAATCTCTTGTTGATCTCCAAACGACTGGTTGACTCCTGGGAATTCTCCATTCACTTCATCACATGGAATTTGTTTCCCCGCAACCAGGTTTTACATCGACTGTCAGATCTGAAGAAAGGGATCCAGATGCTGATCGAGGTGAAAACAAGCAAATGCAAACACACGTTCACTCACACAAACACACATACTTAGATACATACCTTGACCACGTGCAAACTAAAGCCCGGGGGCCAGATGCGGCCCATTCAGCTTTTTAATCTGGCCCACCAAATGTTCCAAATTATATAATTTTAGTCATAACGCCTGACCTAGCCCATTAACATGACTTTAACCATGTACTTCTTAACCCTAACCCAAACGTTAACTTAATGCTAATTCTAATTCTACAACTGGAATCCCAAAATGCCCTTTAATTTAATGACTGCATCGTGTCCTTATAAAGCCATGTGTAATCCTTTATAGCTATTTGTCCCCACAAGTAGATATAAAAGATTACACACAAATAAACTACAGACATACTGATTTGATGTAACCAGACACCTCCCCCTACAGGCCAGTGATGGAGCAGAGATGTCTGACAGCATCACTCTCCCAGTAACTCCTTTTGGAAACTTCTATGAGAACCTGGGCGGCAACGAATCACAAAAGCGGAACTACGAACTGCTGGCCTGCTTCAAAAAGGACATGCACAAGGTACTACTGATGGTGCAATGATGACAAAATGGTTCTGTGTAACTGTTTGAGCGCTACCAAAGAGAACAAAAATAAAATAAAGGATCTCTGCCTGAGCGATGGTGTGCTAAACACAAGCACTACAACATGGACATGACAGGATTGTTTTTTGGGTGGATGAGGGTGTAGTCATTTTTTGTGTTTATGTTTTACAGGTGGAAACATATCTCACAGTAGCCAAATGTCGACTCTCCCCAGAAGCTAACTGTACCCTGTAGCCATACACAATGAAGAGGACGATCCAAGTCTTTTACAGATATGCTTTAAATTAGTTAGCAATACATTGCATCTCGATTGGTGCTGGTGATGTGCCTGCTTATAAAAAATGTCATTCTGTCGGCATATGTAATAAATAGTATCCAATGATTTATGTCTGTCCTTTTATTTTATTTTAACATCTGCTGCATAAAAATCTATCTATCTATCTATCTATCTATATATGTGTGTGTGTCAGGTGTTTTGGCAAAGAATTTAGCTAAATCAGTGAGTATAAAATTATTTCAAAGCAATACAACTAAAATAAAAACAAGACAAGCTGGCAAGTTTAAGCTTTTAGCACACGTTTGTGTGCAGCTTTTAGGAGTAGTGTGCACAGCAACTGGCTCAACAATGACTTCCCTAACATGGCGGCTATGTTGACGCTTTTGCAAGTAGTAACTACGTTCAACTCAGCCACACACACTAAGTCACATCTTACTAACTATTAAATGTGTCCTATATTAAAACATGGCAGTAAATTCTGATATAACGATTTCCCCAATCATGTTTGCAGGGTATTGTTTATCAAGAAAGTACAATTTTCATACTATAAATGACAGCTACCCTGTACTACAGACAGTGGTTCAGTCGGACTTGGCGCGAAATAAATAAGCAACGCCCATCACAAAACGTACAGCTGAAACGTGTTCGAGTTGAAACCGGATGTAATGGAAATTGACTTCAAAATAAGATAACCACACGTCTCAGACGTTAACCGTTAAACAATTATGGGCAATTTGCTTTTGTTTTGACACATTCTACCCGGATTACTGGACAACGTCAGGCAAGCGCTCTCAGGGGCGGCAGCGTGTAAACTCGAGGGTGTTTGACGAAAGTTATTCATGTCCTTTTAAGATATTATTTATTTTTCGTTTATTTAGTAACAACTTATTTCTTGGAAGCAATGAGCTGGTAAGATTGACATTGTTAACAACAGCTTGGACGTTGCACGTGTATCAATTGTCTACATTTGACCACCGTCGCATTAATTAAGTCATCCTTTTTTTTATTAAAGCCTGCAAGACGAGTAACAGAAAATGTATATGGATGGTTAATGCGTAATTAAGTTCAATTTTAAATTGTCTGTAGTTTTTAACAACATTTTCGAGCAAAAATCGATGCTTCGTGCAAGAAAGGTTGCACAAAATCAGCTCAACCCGAATGATATACGTGAATACGTGATAAATTGTGATGTGCATGATTCAAAATTGAGTCGCGCGATTGATAAGTATGTGTACAATTAAGCAGCGAATTTGAAAAGTGAAATGTGGTGTTTCGCTAACCTGTGTGAATGTGAATTTCCTGTCACGTAAACAAAGAGCCAAAAAAAAAAAATGCATACATTTTATTTTATTGCACAAACTTATGAATAAAATCCTATTTGAAACCAAATGTTTATAGAAACGTCGAGAAAACAATGTCAGTGGAACAACCAAAAACGAATTTATTTATCCAAAATGATAAAAAGAACCAATACTCAAAATTTATTTATCCAAAATGATAAAAAGAAACATCAATACTCAATTTGGTTTCAACAACAAATGCACATGTACCTTTTTTTTAAACATTTTTTACAACAACCTTAATGTCTGTTTCGCCACTGAACTTTGGTGAGGTGGAGTTTACATTGACAGTTGTTGTTCCTTTTTAACGTTTAATATTGTCTGCATGTTGGTCGTTTTTGGTAAAGACCTGTTAAGTCGTAATGTTTGGTTTTGTATTGTCGGTGTGTACTTTTGTAATTATTACAAAAGGCTCATTCATTTCAATTGTATTTCACTTTTTTCCACAGCACAAACGATTGTGACAGTTTGTCAAACGGCTCTCCTGATCCAGACGTGTGCGAGAAGCCAGTTGAAACAGTGATGGAAAATGGGTCTTCAATTTGTTGGTTTAAAAAAAAAAAAAAAAAAAAGTCTCACTTATTTTTTCCTAGCTAGGAGTAGTTAGAATCTTACGTTTCTGAGTTAACTAATTCTGTGGTATAGCAGTGTAGTGTAGACTAGTGATTTGTAAAATAAGATAAGATAACACTTTATTAATGACATTATTTATTCATTTATGAATGACATGGCATGACAGACATGTAGCATTAACAGCAGGGTAATCACAGTATATACTAAGTAGGAAAAAAAAAATCAAAGTGCGCATTTCCAGCGAGGAGTAAAGTTAATAAAGTTTTAGTGCACGAAGGAGGAGGAGCAGAAGTGAGAGTTTGGGTGTGAGTACCTACCGACTGGACGACGGACTAGCTCGGTGGACGGGGGGTGGAGATGATGGCAAAAGTCAAATCTTTCTTCCTTCCTTCTCACCCCCTCACTGCAGCTGTACTTCTGCTGTTTCTACTGTGGCCTGAGATTGTGTTCATGTTGTTGAAGTCTCCAGAGATAAGATTGAGGGACTCGGGGTCAGCTGTTTGCAGCTGTGAGGCTGCTGCAGCGTCAGCTTTTTGGGCGAACGTACGCCGCCCTTGATGAGGTTAAGAAGTATTAACGTGATTATGTTTTAAAAAATTTCATTTCATTGTTCAAGGTGACACCGCGACGTCCGGACCAATGACACCCGAAGTGCTCATCACGAAGGAAATGGAGGAAGAAGAGAGGCAACTGATGGAGGAAGGAGAGAGAAAAGAAAAAGAGCTGATTGAAAAGGTTTGTTTTTACCCTCGTAAAAAAAGCTATCTTTGTTTTCATTCATCACATCGCCTGCTTGAAAAGACAACGTGGACATCATAATGAGGGATTCATGTTTGACACTCCAGGCCCGCAAGTCATTGGAAAGGGATTCTCATGACATGCGCTTCAAGAGACTTCAGCATTTGCTTCAGAAGAGCAACATCTACTCCAAATTCCTCCTAACCAAAATGGAGCAACAGCAGGCTGAGGTATTGTGTTTGTATGTGTGTGTATTTGTGACAGAGTTTTTTTTCCCCCACTCCAAATCCGTGTGTTTTTTCCTGTACTTTAGGAGAAACCCCGGAAGGAGAACCTGGACAATAAGGTTTGAGGGTTTTACTTTAAATGTAATAATAAACCTAAGTGTTTGTCATTTCTGTGGAATTCCTGTGATCTTGTTGTTTTGTTTTTTATATAGGGCACACAGAATGCCGAACACGGAAAAGGTGAGTGCATTTTGAGATACAATTTTAATGTTTACAAGACAAACATCGGAGTTTCTACCTGCCTAAACCTTTTAACTGTTGAAATAGATGATGCTAAACTAGGAAGGAAAAGGAGAAGAAATGAAGAATACAGAATATCAGATGTCATTACAAAAGAGGTAAGGTCTCTCACGCTGCCCTCCGCAGGTAATGGCAATGCATTGCCATTATTTCTCAATATTTTTTTTTTTTTTTTTTGAATTTTAGGAAATAATGTCTCACGCTAAGAAAGCAAAAACGGAGGAAGAGGTGAGGATTGATATTTATTCTTCAAAGTCAAATAAAAGCACAAATCCAGCTTCATAATCACGACTCCATCCCACGCGATGTTAGGACGGCACATCGCTGCAGAAAAAACTGCAAGCAGAGGACATCGAGAAAATGACTGATTCCAACCAAGACATCAAGAATCGTCTGTCGGAGAGAGTGCGGGACAACGCCAAGCACCTTCTGGATCCTCACAGGAAAGTGGACGGCCAGCCTGTCCCAGCCCAGCAGCCAGAGCTTCTCACCGGGGGCATCATGAAGTTGTACCAGATCGAAGGCATCGAGTGGTTGCGGGTCAGTCACTGCTATATCAACATGGATTTATGTCACATGATCATGCTGTGTTTTTAAGTTTTGTTTTAGTCCAAAATTCTTTTCATCCGTCAACTTGTGATAGTTACGATAAAAGGGAACAAAGAGGGATTTTTTTTTTTAATTGTTATTCAATTGTTTTTGTGCGTTCAGATGTTGTGGGAGAACGGTATCAACGGAATCCTTGCTGATGAGATGGGACTAGGAAAGACCGTTCAGTGCATCGCCCACATCGCCATGATGATAGAAAAAAAAGTCATGGGCCCGTTCCTGGTTGTTGCGCCGCTCTCAACTTTGCCCAATTGGATTAGTGAATTCAAACGTTTCACACCAGAGGTAAGAAGCGATCGATAAGATCTGTGATTTAACTCACACTCGGCGGAGTCACAACAATATTCCAATATTCGTCTGAATTTTTAGTTTTAAATGCTGTATGTAACATTCTGCGTGGCATCGTGGTTTTTTTTTTGTTTTTGTTTTTTAAAGGTTTCTGTGCTGCTTTACCACGGACCGCAGTCAGAGAGGGCCAAAGTCCTTAAGGAGTTTCGCAGACCTCAGGGCTCCCTCGGCATGCTGCCGGTGGTCGTCACCTCTTTTGAGATCTCGATGATTGACAGGAAATTTTTGCAGGTAATATTTCAGGTTCCTAACACTGCACAGACGTAGAAAATATGGTTTTGGTATAATCAGACAAATTAAAAACTATAATTACATATATTCAGCAGGTGAAACATCAGATTGATCCTAATATTAATAACCCATGACTTTAATATATTCTCAACACTGAATGTGAGAAGTGAGTGAGTTCTCCTCACTTACATATAGGAACAGGCATGGGCAAACTATGGGCCGGGGGCCGGATGCGGCCCATTTGGCTTTTTAATCCGGCCCGCCAAACGTTTTCAAATGATGTTATTAATTTTTATTTTCATTATATTATCTTTATATTATTTTTAGTTCATAACCTGGAAACCAGATGAGGTAAAGTAGATCAAAATACAAATAGAACTAAAATGCATTTCAAAATAAAAAATAGATTTTTAAAAAAAATAGAATACAAAGTAGAAATGGCGCAATAAAAATAATCCAAAAGTAGCAGCCAAACAGTTCATCAAATGATCATTTTTTCACGGATGTTTGAGAAATGTGCAGTTTAGAGAAAAGGCGAAACAGCTGTATAACAGAATAAGTGGTAGGAAGAATATCCGATATTCAAATCAACCAAAAACCAAATCAAGACAGAGGTAAAAAAATAAAATCTTAAAGGCCCTACAGGTAACTTGCTGAAATTACATATGTAGTAAGCTGTAGTTAACTGTTCCAAGTTTCCTTTTCCTCTGCAGCGATTCCAGTGGAAGTATCTCATTGTGGACGAAGGTCACCGCATCAAGAACCTCAACTGTCGACTGGTGCGCGAACTGAAGATGCTTCCCACCGACAACAAGCTGCTACTGACGGGCACACCCCTTCAGAACAACCTGGCGGAGCTTTGGTCCCTGCTCAACTTCCTACTGCCAGAGGTGTTCGATGACCTGAAGAGGTAAAAATGGTCTCTC